CTGGCCTGGCTGGTTTGGTTTCTGGGTTTGGATCGATTTCTCCAGGTTTCAGTTTCCGAGGATCATCAGCAGTTTCTTCCTCGTTGTCTCTCTGAGCAGCTTTGTCCCTAAAAACACATTGTAGGTGTTTCACCACTGGTTCTTTCTTTGCCCCAGGCTCATAATAATATCTCTTCCAATAATAATAATATCTGTCCCCAAAGACTGACTATAAAAAAGTAATCTGTAATTGTACTGTGGACAATACATTTCTTATACAATTCATGAGTGTGGTACACTTACATAATCTTAAATCAGACACGAGAAAGAAACCAACGTACTAGAACATTAAAATATTACATAAAATACAATACTGATACAGCCTGTAATAGAGAAATCTCCTCAGGTAATCTTTAACAATAAAACCATGAATTCAAGCAGTGTGACAAAACAAAATATCAAGTTTCCCATTATGCTTTTATACTCAACCAATCTCACCAGAATTACCAAAAGTCACAAAGGAAAACAGCACTTTCCTTCTCTTCTCATACAGAGATGTCTCTTTTTTTTTCCTCTCTTACACATCCACTCCTGCTGATCAGCCAGCCAAAAACTACCCAAATAAACCTGAAATGGAAGCCTAAGAAAAGCATCAGTCTTGATACTCCTCTAAGGCAGGATGACCAGGAGCAAGAAAATATACACCTATCTCTATTCCAGCCTGCTCTCCTGGTTCCAGGAGCTTCTTCTTTCAAGCTAGACACAGTGAGTGAAAAGAAACAATCCTTAAACATTTCCTTACAAAAGGACTCAGTCAACTTGAAACCACCATAATTCCACACCAGCCCTACAGCAAACTCCACAGATTTTCCAGGTATCTGCACCTCTGGCCAAAGAGAAACTCACAGGAGAAATTCATAGTGCTCCAAGCACTGGGCAGCAGTTCTCCCAATAATGGGGGCAATGGTTCTCCACTGGGTTGGCATCAGCTTGGCCAAGTGCAGCAGCTTCTCCTCCTCTTCCCGGGACCACTCTGTCTTTTTGATGCTCGGGTCCAGCCACTCATACCTGGAAAAAGGGAAAAAATTAAGGATGACAGAGCCAAGTTACCCACTGATTTGTCTTCAAGCGTTTTTATGACATATGTGTTTGAGCTCTAAAATGTATTATTTATCAAGCATTTTTCATACAAAGTATGCCTCTTCTTCCTTTCCTTGACTCTACTCTGGAAAACTAAGGAGTCACAAAATTAATCCTGAAAAAGAAAATTAAAAATTGCAACAATCAAAGATACCAGAAATGGTAGATTTGTTTGGTCTGGAGCCTTCAACAATTATCTTACTAATCCTCAACTGTTCCAGTACTGTTACCTTTATAAGAAGTATTATAATAAATATGTGCAGTTCAGTACTCGACAAACTAAGTCTGAATTTCCAACAGACTCATACTGTATGTATTTGAATTAGTTTTAAGCTCCTAGCTTTTATAAAAAATTAAATTTCACGGTGCAATTTCTAAACATTTAGTCTCAAGCCAAACTCCTATTACGAGAAATTAGAAAATTATATGTAAAAGAGATTAATATCTTACAATTTTATTTCCTTGGCAATACCCAGTGATTAAAAGATGTTTCAATACAGGGGAAAAAAATAATGTATATAATTTTAAGTGATCCTGCATTTGCTAACAGTGCAGTCACTGGCAAAGAAAACATCTGGCTACTTTTGTTCAACTATTTTCAAACAATAAGAATTCAAAATACCCACAATAAAATTAAACATTTTTTAATCTGTTGTTGCTCTGAGGACATAAATTAGTCTGTGGTAATGTCTAAACTTCCACTAATTATGAACCTTATATTCCAGACATGGCACCTCTCACTCACCATCTGGCTTTGCACTGCTTTGCTGATTTCCTGTGCAACAACGAAGCAATACGAGACCACTGGTTTTTGCCATATTTCATAACAGCTGCTTTCAGAATTTCATCCTTAAAAGAAAAAGAAATAAACACTGTTATGGATCACAAAAACTTGCAAAACAGAAGATGTGAGCTCAACCAAAGGAGAACACAGTGTATTTCATCTAACAGGTGACCCAGTGGAAACAGCACAGCACTGCTGCTTCTCTCCCACATTTTATTCTCAAGATGAATACGGATTTGTATTTTGAAGGCCAATGAAATCAGTAAAGATTAAATGAAAAAGACATATGATTAGTGTTCCAAACTTCATATATCCAACAGAACTTCCAGAATTATTACTTTCAATGCTCTCTACTGCACTAGTTTTTAAAGGCTCTGTATGCCTTCCTTGAAGGACAGCAACAAAGAGGAAGGGAAGCTTTTGTCTGGTAACGGCATCGCAAT